ATGAAATAACATAACGTTTGGATAAATTACAGATGGCTGTTAAATGCTTATCAATATGATTGATATATAATATATAAATATATAATTAATATATAAATTTATAAATATTATACATTTATATGTGATCGAGTCATATTTATAGGTCATCAATATGTAAACAAATAAAAATTGAAACCTGCGTTACCAATGTGACGTTTTGCGAAATTTGAAGAGGCAAGCAAGTGTGAATTGGACAGATGGAATAATTCAATCATTGAAATGTCAAAAATCAAGAAATTAAGTTAAACAGATTCAAACGAAACTCACCTTATCTATAACAGTTCATTAAAATTTAATCATATTTATTACCTACTCTCATCGCATAACTGCTATCATTCAATCAAATCGTTCAGATACCACTTATCTGTTGAGTTTAAGAACTAATCACCTATTGAATATCTTTATAAGCACAATAAGGCGCATTTTACAAAATTCTCTTACAATTATGAACTTTCACTAGTAATTTGTAGAGGAAGATAGCAAAAAGATGTACAGAACTGCGCCAAAACAAACGCTAAAACAAGATGTCCGCGTGCCATTTCATCTTAAGATTAGAGTACACTATCTCCGATAGCTGTAATTTTTTTGTGCGCAGAGCTGAACTAAAGGAACAAGTAATCAACAATAAGGAACTCGAAGTAGTCTTCACCTAAAACTCTCATCATCACACGAAACACATACAANNNCCATCTAGTGTCAAATCCTAGCCAATTATGTGGCAGACACAAGGAACTAGCGTGTTATTTACCACCAACATAACTGTGAAACTAGTCCCACTTCTAGTGCGAATACCAGTGGGATATAATCGCTATGCTATCACAATACCTGGATGCACTTGACTTTTCAAAAAAGTGAATAATGATCCGGGAGGAATACTTACGAAGATAAGCTTGTCGCTGATCATCGCTTAGATTCGACGGTAAAATGGTTGGCATTCCGGGAACGAACGACTTCGTGGTACTCCAACGAGACTTCCGTGCTCTTCGCTCTGCATGCTCCGAGTCGGTTGCCGGACTTTGTGTGTGTTCAGTGGATGCATGACCGGCGTTCGTGCCATCACCTGATGCCACTGCCTCGGCTGCAATGCACTTCATCCAATCAACAACAAAACGGCATTTAACTCTAAGTTTTTTCTCAAATTTCGACAATTTCCATATTTCTTAGTGATTTGACGGCTCGACAAGTGCTCGATTTACTCTGTTACAGAGACCAATAATGTTTGAAGGTGTGTTTTTGCGTTTGGTCAGCGATTCGTCTTATTCTTATCATAACTGATCATCCGCCAAAAACACAACGAACAGCGTAGTGACTGACCATTCTTTACGAACAAATGACATTATACCCAATAAAACAAATTATCAAATCAAAAAATAACTTCAACGCATTTCCTTCCTCCTCTATCTGAACAATTTTTTGCAACAAATCTAAAAGGTCTCTAACGTTACATCACGGTTTGTCATTTGATATCAATCAAAATCACCGCCTCTCAATGCGTTCTCATGGCAAAAGCAAACAAAAGATCCTTGTGGTACCAATCAAATAAAATGGAAAAATTGAATTAGTTGCAAAATTAAACTGCAAACGAATACTCACCAATGTCGGGCCTGGCCAGTATCGGTAATATACCTTGCTGTGCTTGTTT